AAGGGAGGGGAAAAGAAATGCCAAAAGGTTAAAAAAAAAAAAAAAGGTAACCAGTTCTTTTTCCTGGAGGTAATAATTTATTGTTTTATATGTATTTAAGAAGTGAAAGTATTTTTCATATACTCCCACTATTTGTCCATCTTCTTTAGAACCTAGTAGATAGTAGGTTTTTCGTATTTAAGGCATCCTCCCTAAAACAAAAAGGTTTTGAAAAATTAAATAGACTATTTTCCTTTCTGATACGTTTTTGCTCTGAACATGAGTTAAGATACAAACTTCTTAAGAAACTTCTTAAGAAGTTTCTTCTTCTTAAGAAGAAAGAAACTGTTCAGGGGTAGTTTTGCTTGTATTTAAGTTATTGTATTTTAATTTATGTATATGAATAAACACTGGACAGTGGAAGACATAGCCATTTATAGTGTCTGTGTCTAATCAGCAGAATTATAGACTTTATTTTCAATTATGATTTTCATAGACTGGTTTCTGCTATTCGGTCAACAAATGCTTTAGGCTCATAAGTTTTCCACTAAGTGCGTTTCACTTTTTAATATTATTGGGAAGAATTTTGCTTTTATATTTACCTGGAGGGCAATTTCCTTAAACTAATGTTATTTGTTTTATTCTTAGAGGTTCACAGCATTCTCCTTCCTACTTCTAAAAAGTTTCTGAGTGTTTCTGAAGGAGGCCAGCTAATTGTCTTTCCCAGGAGTATTTGATTATGGTCTCTTCATTAGCTTCATTTAGTTTATCTATTTACATGCTTCTCTGATAGCAGTTTGACCTTCTGAGTTCCTCTCCAAGAATGAATGATATCACAGTAGAAGGTGAACTCTTGATAAGAGATATACTGACCCCTATTGTTCTATGATTGCACTTTTATTGGCCTCTGAGGGTGGACCCATTAAATACAGGAGTTTTAGAATTCTAATGTCTGTTGAAAAGCCAACTTCTTAGAAATGTTAGGTAGCAAAAGTTGAACTGAGATGCAGCTGCTGGAGTTTTGGAGGAAAGGGAGGTGGGACGAACAGGTAATCTCTCAGTTAAAGGGTGGATTTTCTTCCTGTTACTGCAAAATAAACACATGGATTAAATTGTTTTATGAAAGCATTCTTTCTAGAAGCTATTTTCAGTTGGGAGTTGATTATATTTAAAAAGAACTTTTTGCCTGGCCAAATTCCTATGGGCTTATATCAATATTTAATCAGTTTTGTCTCCATTCAGGCAGACCTTAAACAGAAAAGAAAGATAAATGGACAATTTTGGTTATCAGTATCTAAAAGAAGGTATATTGGCCTGGGAGTTAGGAGTTCTGAGGTTTCCATTCCCTAGCCTGCCATGACTTCATATTATCTGCTCTGGGGTTTGGTTTCACCACATGGCAAATAAAGGCAGCAGTAACTTACTGAATGCCAATTATGTATTGTTGCTTTCTTTCTTTCTTTTTTTTTCTTAAGTTGTGGATTAAACTGTAGAGGAAGGCGAGAGATTATGAAAAATGTGATCTGTACTAGAGGTGCTAACTTTGGAGGCAAACTCTTGAGATAGCTCCTATCAGCCCACCCTGTCCAAAAATATATACTCTTTTGCTGCTTCCATTTGTTTTTGTTTTAGTTCTTGTCTTTACTTCTTGCTCTTATCAGCTGTCTGAAATTCTGCCAGTTGGAGGCGAACTTATAATATTATGTACATTTTTTTGCGATAAAATGGACCGCCTCTGAAAAGATTGAGTTACCCTGAGTTAATTCAGATTGCTTTCCTCTTTTGTTACCTAAGGGAGATTACCTACAATAAGGGGATGCCTGTCCTGGTAGGAGGGGAAGGAAGGCAGACAGTTTTCAGTGAGAAGCCCTTTAGGCTGTGATAGGAATGGGGGGCCTGATTCTTACAGCAGAGAGAACTCAGCTCTTAGTGGAGGAACCCACCTGTGTAGACTAATGTTTAAGAGCATGTCCTTCACAGTCTAGCATACCTGGGCTCCTGGGCTTTGCCACATGACTGTAGACAAATTGCTAAATATTTCTGAAATTGTTAGCTCAGTACCTGACTCATATTAAGTGCCAAAGGAATGGTAACTGCCTCTATTAAGATGAGGGCATCTGAGCATTTGAAAAAAGGAGACATTAAGAAGTGGTAGAAGAATGCACAAAGGGAGATCAGAGAGGACCAATGACAGATTTTTTCACACTCTTGTTGTTCAATAGCCAGGAAATGAGGGAGGAGGTAGGCAAATAGGATATTTTCTTGTTTAATTTTTTATTTTCTGTTGTCTTCATGCATTTCATGGTCCCATGTTCTCAGGATTTAGAACTTAGTTGAGTTCTAGTAGATGTTTTAGGTTCAAAAGGCATTTGTCGTTTTTTTTGCATTTTGCTCTGTTTTGTGGGCTAGCCTGTGAATCTAACACTGTACATGAGAAAATGCATTTCAGAGGGTAAAGAACTGGCCGGAAGATGAACTCCATTAGCATATTCCAATTTTAAAATTCTAAGACCATCTAAACTGGCCATATCGAAGAACTTTGTGTTTTTCTGTTTTTGTGAGAGGGTGAGATGTTCCCTGATGGAGGACAGGGTAGGTTGGATTTGGAATCAGGTTTCCCAGGCTTTACTATTTACTTGTGTATCCAAGTGAAAACAACAACCACCACTAAACCTCTTTTATAAACAACTCCCAGCTGAAATGGAACAATTTAAATGAGGTCTTCCAACCTGCCTAAACTTAAGCTTCCTCATTCACTCATTCATTGTACACAAATTTGTTAAAACTTCCCTGTAAAAGAAGCTGGTAGGACTAGATGACCCCCAGACCACCTCCAACTGGAAATTTAATCTTAGAAAGTATTAAAGTTCTCTTAGGTTTTAGAAAGGCACATCCTTGATGATTTTTCTTCCCCTCACCACTCTTCCTGATAATAAAGTCTTCAAAGTTGTCTGATAAACCAACCAACAAAATCAGCTCAGGCTTTTGGTATATTAAATGCCTTGGGCTTATTATCAGTTGAGAATTTTTTGGTTGCAAGTGATTGAAAGCTCAAGCCTTACTATCTGATCAACAATTGGAAATCTATTGGTTCATGTAACTGAGAAGTTCAAATGTGTGGTCTGGCTGGCTTCAGGTAAAGCTTGATACAGTGGCCTAAAGTATGTCAACAAAAACGTTTCTCTCTGGCTCTGGGTTTTCCAGTGTTGGCAAAGGAGTGTTGGCAGCCTCCGTAGATCATGTACAATGGATCCTTGGCAGCTCCAGGCTTTTCCCTTAGGCAGTGACAGTTCCATGTATCACATTCCCATATTGCAGTGTTCAGGGGAAGAGAGGTCACCTCCAGAAGCTCCTACACATGCACAGATGTATGATTCACTCTTTCTCATTTGTTTAATCTTGATCACATGCTCATTCCTGAACCTATTACAGGAAGATGGGGAGATATATTGGTGAGCTTAAGCCCCCTGTAAGAGCTGTAGGTAGGGTCAACCCCATTCAGACACATGGCTGAGAATGGAGGCCAGGGTATGATCTGAAGGAAAATTGGACACTGTTAGTTTGAGAAGGAAGGAATGGATGCTGGAGATTAGCTCATTTTTAGAGGATTTGCCATGCTGAAACTTGGGCATGTTTTATAAATTTATAAACTTGAAGCTGCTCTTTTTATTTTCTTTCTTTTTTTTTTTTTAAGCCAGCCAAAGTTTTGTTTAAATTGCCAAAACACCTTTAAAAGATTTTTATATTTGTAGACCCTCTCAAGTCTTGCCTAGTTTTTTCTGTCAACAGGTAGTGATGCAAGTTAGGGCACATCAGTACTACATCTTAACATGAACCTCTAGGATGTTAATAAAATATATAGAGAGTACATATTCAGCTATCTGCAATTCTGTGAAGTCAGGCCAGGTGCTTAATGCACCAGTTAGAAACTGTACCACATCTTTCTCGACAATTCCAAAGGGTGTTGGAGAAATAATTAGATTATAGCAGGTCATGGATGCCTTAGAATACTGAATGGTTTTAAAAATGCTATATTAAACTGCTCTTCTGATATTTGCCTTTTATTAGTCAACACTTAAAATGTACCTAAAAATAATCACATATCCCTTTTAAGTATATTTCCAAAACATACTGCACTGGAGTGAGACCTGTCATTACAGGACTTGAGACAGAAATCAAAGAGAAAAAATCAGGTGGTTGTTTCCCTGCCTACTTG